GTTTGATTTGTTTCTCCTCCTTGGTAATCAGGTTCTCTTGAACATCTTTTATTGGTTTCAACTTCTGGTTTGATCTCTTTCCGAATAGAGACTTGGTTACCCATGCGTCGTTGGCGCGGCGATTATAACGCACGCCGACCATGCACATGGTTCAAAGTTCGATCCCCGGCCGACGCAAAACCGATATCGATGGTCGGCCTGAAAAAATTGGGTTACCGATACCACATGCTGAAAATTCCATAATTGTGTCGAAAATACTGTGTGGAGTCAAGCTATAATGAAATAAAATTAAAATTAATGAACAGTGTCATGATGTGTCCTTCGCCTGCGGCTTCTTTTGCTTCAGTTGCCACCAGCCAGTGTGTCGTAGAATTGTTGTTTGTCTCTTCTAGGTCTCTTCTTCACTTCTTTATTCACTGTAGTGAACACCAAACTCAGCTTCTGCTTTTGTTGTACATCCTTGCATTGAGTCATCTTCTTTTTCACCATCCTCCTCTCCTCCCTTCTATTAGCTTCCAGGTATTCGCTGACAGCCATTCCTTGTCTTATCTCTTCCTTCTTCCTAGAACAGTTGTACACGTTTCCTTAAATACCGCTTTCAGAGAGTTCCAATGTTCTTCCACACAGGTTTCCTCAGTGATGCCACTTAGTGTCTCCGACTTTGCTCTTACCTGATCTGTAGCGAAGACATCCCTTGTACTTTCGTCCTTCAGTTTCTGAATGTTGAACTTGAATTGTAGTCTGTCTCCATTTGTTTTCATGGATTTCAGCTTCATCTTGAAGGTTCCTTGAACTAGATGATGTTCTGAGCCCAAATCTGCCTCCCTTCCTGATTTTATATCCAGCAGGCTGCGTCTCCACTTCCTTGAGGACCATTGAGATGAAATCTATTTGGTTTATGGTATGTCCATAAGGCAAAATCCATGTTGCTTTGTGTGTATCCTTGTGTTTGTACACGCTCCCTCCGATCACCAAATCGTTGAAAGAGCAGAAGTCTGAGAATGATTCTCCGTTCTTATTCATTTGTCCGAGAGCCTCTCGACACATGATGACTTCTCTTCCTGTATTATCTACTCCCAGTTTGGCATTCTTATCACCCATAAGGATCTTGATGTCACCACTCAGGATGTTGTGCATTAGTGTTTGTAGTTGTCTGTAAAAATCCTCCTTCTTCTCTTGTTCCACGTTGTTTATAGCTGCGTAGCATTGGATTATTGTTACCTCCCTTCCTTTGGAGTCAGATCTTGCTTCAAGTTTTATAGTGTTATAAACCGATGATATTCGGAATACAGTAGTCAGTAAAGGCAAATAAAAATTATATCAGTAAATGTATTGGAGTACGAGTGTAGAATGGATTTGACTGTTATTTGAATGCATATCAAATGTGCAGTCATTAAGAAAAATGAAATGAAATTTGGATGGAAAGTTAGGTGTGTGCATTTATAACTATAAAATATAAGCTTCAAGGGGTGAAGTTATATTCAAGGACGTGAGAAGTTATAAGCGCTATAAAAATATAAGCAGTTAAATGGAGTACGCTAAATATAAGTTAGAAGAGTAAGAATTAACAAATATAATGATATTTGTTAGGAAGTTGAGCCTCAACTTGACAAGTGTGAAGACGATGAGAAAAAAAAAATAAAATATACAAAAAGAACATGTAAGAGTGATAATAGTGGAATTATTACCAAAGATAGAAGCGGATGATTAGGAAAGAGGTTGTACAGATCCATTCTACAAACGGAGTTCGGGGTTGTACTAACGAATTGCTGGAGACTATACCATACAGAAATGCCGAAACCTAACACCTACTGTACCGTTCGGCCTCACGTAAAGTGGGTTGTAATCAAATAATGAGGACCAAATAAACTTGGAGTAAATCCAATGGGTGACAAACAATAATGATGATCATAGTAGATCTATAACTCTGAAGAAGTTGCTGAAAACAAATGTTCTCTCGAAATGTTTTTCCTGTTATTAAGTTACTATGAGGATATGTCCGTCCATGGTAAAGCTATTAGCATTAAATAGCGAAACGTCAATAAAAACAATATCGTTTTGTTTTTCTAACACTGGGAAATACAAAAACCTTTATTATAATGAATTACTATGAGAATATTTAAATTTATTTAATGTTAATTTTGTTTCAATGTCGCAATAATAATTTAAATAATCTTCGTTGGGCTTTGTCCATGTAATTACTCTCCTTCGTGCAGTATGAACTAAATCACACTTGCACTTACGAAAAAGACACAAGTTGGAACTGCACAATCAAATTTAGTCTGTACTTTGTAATCAGCATTGATTGTAATTGTGTGACGGAGTGAAGATTTCTACTCAAAACTTACGATGCATCATGTATACAATATTTTTTATATTTTTAAACGTACCAGGGTAGATATACACTGCATTTTTATATATTTCTTCACGAAGAACAATTAAATGTGTTAGATAACAGAAATGCAGTAACTGTATAAATATGATTATTTTTAGGTAAGCTGTACTCTAATTCACAATGAATAAATAAACCTCAATAACAAAAAAACACTACTAATAATACCAACATAGTGTGTGCGTTTTTCCCATTTCTTTTGCGTTTCTAAGAGAAGAAAAGACTTCAAGTTAGATCTTTGAAGCTCCAGTAGTGGTGGTATTTTTTCCATGAGGTAGGGTCCCTAGCCTCAAGCTTAGCTTTTCCTCTTTTAGTCGGGACGGCTATCGGCTAGTTTGGGCTAACGAGTGTTTCGACCGGAAGTCGAATCCCACCCACGTGCACGGTTGGCGTACATTCTATCGGTGAATCAGGGACACACTAGTACCTAAGTACGACACTTACATAGAATACTGGAGGGTGTTAGGCAGAAAGTACATGGCAGGTGGTTATGCCTTAATAATATATTATGAAAATCAAGAAACGTTTTCAACCTTATCTTGTTACTTTTACCGCTTACATTTGGTTTTAAACTTTTACTGTTACTTGTATCATTGTCACTATTCTTTTCTTTTTCACCTTTCGTGTAGATTTCTTCCACTTATGTTAGTGTTAGCGAAATACGATAACTTCAAATGATCTGTTATTGTATCACCTCTATCATGATTTTCTTTTTGTCTTTTTTACATCACCAACAGAGAAAAATTTCGTTTATACGAATGAAATATGTAAGATATGAGAAATATTCTTTCATATACACAAACATAAATAAAATATCCTGTAGTAGAAGGCTCACAATGCAAGCTTTACTTCGTCTTTCATACATAACGATATAGTCAGAAGACAGCTAAGATGAGATTAATATAATATTGTTACATTCTAGGTCTTAGAACTGAAGCTGTTTTTCGCCTGAAGTCCATAATTATGCATGTGGAACACTTAATTGTTCAGTGCGGGTAAAACCTGACTTTCGGAACATTTACCTAGGCAACTACAACTTGCCTAATACTAATACTTCTTCTTCTTCTTCTACTACTACTACTGTGTATCATCTACTTACGTGGATGAATGAAATTAAAATGATGTGACTTCTTCTTGAACACTTGTGTGGTTACATTTGTTTTGTTTTGTTACACTGCTCCCTTCTTCTGTGTTGTTTCTTATTCACTGCATATTCAAGGGATGGGAAGCATTGATGGACTTTATTGACCCAGCTGGAGGTAAGTTTACCTGCATTGTCAATAATGTACAGTCAACTTTCTTTTAACATTCACTTGTAAATACTGAAGTTTTTTCAGTGCCTGAATCGTTTCGGTGAATAGCGATGAGGGATGGTGCTCCAGGGTCTCGCATTATTAGTTGTATTATAGAATTCTCTGGCTTAATTCACAAGAGAACTGAACCAAGAACTCTAAAATTGTCTATTTTCACACCTAAATGAGTAATCATAAACCTTTCGCCACTCTCTACATAAATAGATAACGATCTCAAGGGTTTATTTGATAGACAGTGTAGTGTAACTTCATTTTTTCTCCTGCTAACGATAAATCTGCTTCATGTAGAACAATAATTTCTCATTATTCAGTGACAAAATTAGTAAATTCTGCAGGAAATATTTTATATGAAAGATGCCTTTTTTTAAACGATTGCGTCATATGTTTTGCTAATAGACCTAGTGGATAAAAGCGAGACTGAAGTAAAGCTTTCCACACTACAATTTCAAATCAACAGCCACTGATTTCTGCTGTTTATTTAATGCTCAGTGAACAAGCCGTCACTTATTAAAGTCATTCATCAGGGTATAACACAGACGAAAGATAAATCATCGCTGCAGTAGAAGCAAGAGTGTATAGATTATAACTGGAAATATATTGTCACACATTTTGCAAGAAAAATGAACATGATGCAGAAAGTGTAAATATAAGGCAGTCAATAATTACATCTCACATGTATTTGACATTCCAAAACATTCATTTCTGTCTGCTTTCAGGAGCATATCCACTCACTTCTGCTTATTAGAATTTTTTACTTTCTCATACGTTTTCATGTATGACTCATTTGGTGACTGATTGTGTCCATCACGCGTTGATTTAATGCATACAATGGATTTGATCATTATTTATTTTATCTCTTATCGAAGTTTTTAAGACTGTTTTTGGGTTCTCAGCACTAATCTAAAGTCAGTCAGTATTTCCGTATGTTTCTGTAGAGTTACTGTCGGGGTGTATCATAAAACTACTGTATATATTTTTAGGCTTGTATTCATAAATACCTCCTAATGTATGCAAATTATATTTATTCATATAGTCACAAATAAATCAAGATGAAGCACAATAATTATTACTTCTGTTAAACAAATTAATTTACAAAGATGACCACAGTTTTCTGTCTTTCTCTTTATGTCTGCTTTCATTTTTAGATCAATGAAACACCATTTATGCGTTAATGAGTCTTTAACAAATGTAATTTGAAATATGAGAAGTCAATAAAATTAATCTTATATAAATAAGAATGATAACTTTTTTCACCAGATATTTTATTGGTGAACAGTTCACAACGCGTAGATCATTCATGAAGCAGCATTTGCTATACCAGCTATAGCCATAAACATAAACACAACATCTACATAAAGTTGCATAGCACCAAATATATACTCTTCAGGCTCAAGTTCAAATTGTCTTCCACCCATTATTTGTTGCGTATCGTAAGCTAAATACTATACAGAGCATTGGACATTGAAAGGAAACATTCAGTGAAAAGGTAAACTATCAGATATGAGTACTTGTGAGATAAAAATATTATGCAAATTAACGAAAACAATGCAAATCTCTTTCTAATTGACTTTGAAAAAACCTTCAAAATATTCAGTAATGATTGCGTTACCAACTTCAGTCCAGAAAACAAGAAATATCTATAACTAAATCATTACATGATAAACCTCGAATAATAACTAACTAACTAATTTATTTCCTGATGAACATGATCCAGAATTTTCTTCAGTCACATAATCACTGAAAGTTAAGTGGTATTTGAATCTTTTTACAGTAGTTAAAGCCATTCACTTTATTTACGGTAGAACACAGATATGGATATGAGTGTCATAAAGTAATCATTGGTCTGGTGTTCAGCTACAGATTTGTTCTAGTCTTCATTAATCACTTATCTAAAATTATTACCATCAAATGGAAGGTAGGTGCAACTGTCCCGTTATCTGCCTTCACTTTAAAATCAGCTGTAAAATTTTAACGAGAGCATATGTGTTTACCTGAAACTTCATATGGATTCGATTACCTCGCAAAAACTGGTTAGCTTTTAAATTTTTTCAAATTTAAAATACTTATTTCCGTAATATATGAGATGTATTTTTTTATTAGTATATTTTACTTTTTACTTTCAGACCTGACAAGTCTGACGATGTCAGTCTAATTGTTCATGTTTTCTTGTTCTTAATGCTAAACAGACACTATCCACCAAGCTTGCAGTATGATCACCATCACATCACACTCTGAAAAGATGTCAGGCGTTTACAAACAAATGCTAGAGAGCCCTGCTGGGAATGTTCAGAATGAATGTTGAAGTAATACTGGTTTCATTCTACGAAACGGCATTAATTTTTCCCAAATAAAAGGATGCTGAAAAGTGGTGGTAAAGACAAAACTAATAGCCTTAACGTCGTCAAGATACCCCATAGCATAATGTATCCTAGATCTGTTGTGATCTTATCACTTCACAATCCCGTCTTCTATATGACATATGTAACTTATTTGAAAACTCGTTATAATAAATCTTACATGGTGATTAGAAAGTAGTTCAATCATAGCTGATGAAGAGTTGCGTATGTATGGATGTATAATTAGTCAAGTGTTACAAGCTACAACAAATTATTTGTTCAGTGTTTCTTGGTTTCCAGTGCTCTATTGACTGATCTCCGTATATTTTCAAAACAACATTGATGTCAGCTTATTTCCTACAAAATTTCCTAAATTAGTTTTTACGCTGAACAGAAGTCGAAAGTTAGAAGTGACACATTGAAGCCGTTGCCTACCAAATTTATTAAATGCTACGTGTAGAATCTATCTTTAACCCCCTTTCTCAAACACATGACTGTTTGGTTCCAGTGTTTATAAATACATTTGTGGTGAAAAAGAAGGTCTTTTCTTACATATCAGTCACAACGACTCTGATTTCCAGCACTCGTAGTCATGACCTCCTTATCCTCTCATTGTAACTGTGGTTGATTTTTGTTATTATTCCATTTTAAATAACGTTTGTTTAATGTGAAAATGTCAAGTGATTTAATAATAATTAGTCAAGCCTAAGTAACCTACATATTTTATTCACACTTTATTTTTGTGAATCAATAAATTTGCATTGATTAGTCTCGCTTTAAATCATGTCGACGTGATCTGTTGATTTGATAAATGATTTCGCTTGACGCAAACAGAATAAAAGCCTGCATTCTATTTTCAAAGATTCTATTTCAAAGTGACTCTGGTAGATCTCCACAATATCCATCAACAGAAATAATTGTTGATTTAGTTTTTATGATAATAAGAATAAGGGTGTATTCTTAGTAGTGAATATCATTCAAAAGACAAATATCATGATGTAAGTCGAAGTTATTTGGGATCGTTATGTTGAGAAGAAATATTTCAGGAGAGATAAGACTGCTTACTGTGTTACATAATGTATAGGAGGATGAAACTTTCAGAATGATTATTAGATGCTGCTTCTGTGCATATGATTGAAACATTCAGCGCAGAAAACTAAATATTTTTAATCACTTGGAATACTACAGGAAAATAGCAAAAATGTTTATTCATTGCTTCAGGTCTCAATACACACAAAGTATCTCTCCCTACACTTAGTGTATTTCATTCCATTTTTGAAAAGACATCTCTCCAACCGATCTTCGACATATTATGTGTATTTTGCCTACGTATTTATTACTAGTTTGAAGTACACGGAAAAGTATATGATGTTGTTTTCAGAATAAGGATTTGCAGTTGAACTATATGATGTGAATGTCATAATTAAATGCAGTTTATTCAGTAGGTGATAAAGACGTTCTTTCATTAGACTGCTACTCAGAAACAAATTACTGATGTTTAATGCTGAAAGTATCTGTATAAAATGGCTACATCAGTATGCATAAGCATGTGATATGTACCCAATAAAAACGCTATGGAATAATTCATTCTTTGTGAATGACAAAGTCTCACTTGGAAAAGAAGTAACACACATGTGTGACAAACCCTTTTTACACAATTATCTGTTTTCAGATTGTCAACAGCTGTATTCTCTCCATACTGAAGATCAAGTGGCTGGTCAGAAAGAATCAACAGCAAGAAACTCTGGCAGCAAACCAACCAAGAGCCTATTACTCAATAAATATGCAGGAGAAAATGGAGATGGATCGGGCGTACGTTGAGGAGGCAGTCAAAAGACATCACGCGTAATTCAGGCTATCGCTCGAGAGTAATCCCGTTAGGAAGCAAAGAGTGGGTTGTCAGTGCGAAAGCGACATGGAGGAGATCGTGTGGGAAGGAGGAGATGAGAAATTATGGGCAGTCGTTGACAGAGCTGAAGAGGGTGGCAGAGAATAGCAGAAAGTGGAGATGTGTTGTTGAAGCCCTATGTTCCACTTGGAATCAGAGGGAATGATAATAAGACTGAAAGAATAGTATTCGCTTATTTGTCGCAGTTGATGACAAATGAGAAGATTAAAACTGTCTTAGTTTCAGCAGATATTTTCACCTTGCACTCAGAATCAAGAATGGCTGGTCAAATATTTCTGATTTATTAGTGACAGGTAACAAAGAAATGTAATTTTTTGGTGAATCTGTTTATTTTCATTTTCAGAATGAATAGGCTGAAGGCTTGTCAAATAAGAAGTTTTGCGGGATAAGATGAATTGCTTTTATTTTATATTTTTCTCGTCAGCCACATAGCCAGTGAATGTGAACTTTAACGATATTTTAACTGAATGACCAGTATTTTATAAGAGTAAAATAACATGACGAAAATAGAGACGTGGTACAAACTATGCAAGAAGTGTAAATAATCAATTACAACTAAAACAGAGACGTTATATTTCGTACAGGGAAGAAGGTTCTGGAATTCAAAGGTAATTCACGTGTAGGTGGAGACAACTATTTAGACACGCAAAATAGCTATCCAACCGCAATGAAACAGGTCAAGGACACAAAGACACAGAGAAATAGTAAGAAAACAGATGACTGCAGTTATCAAGTTAAGTCATAAGAATAAGATGAAATTTCGACAAGGTGAAAGATTTAGTAATTGCTAACGTGGCAATAAGTTAGTAACAGTCTCTTTTTGTATGCATCATAGGGATTCCGCTCTTCTAATTCGAAGTAGCCGTGAAGTACTTTGCCTCTTCACCACCTTAAAAGATTCTATCAATGTGATAGTTTGTACTGTATCAGCCAGCTGCCTAGCTATGGAGCTGCTAAATGATTCTTAATTCTAGGGCGTAGACTCTTGGGCATATGTCCAACAATCATTGTAGACAACTGTCTTTCTAATCTTTCTACGTACTTGCTACCAAATGTACATGTGAAGTCATAAATACAGTTCGAGTCAACAAGAGCTGGAACTTGGTCAGGTTTGGACTATGTAGCCGAACAGATTGTTTGATATACTAGTTTGGTGGCTGGATAGGACGTTGATATTCGCTTGGCGAATCTCCCTTCAACGTCACTACCTTTAAATTTTAATGTAAGGAACACTGGTTTTTTCTGTCTCCCATACGTCATATTTATTGTACTTTTTTAAGAACCGTTCAGGATATTTATTGTTCCTTAAGCATCCATTGATAAGATAGATTTCATTTTCTACTGTTTATTTGCAGCAAAGCCTTTCTGCTGTCTCTCATCTGGTGTTCTAACCTCTCTTGTAGCTCAAAGAATAGAAGTCGTTAAAATTTAGGTCTTAGCTGCTCCAGTTTGTTTTTTGGTGAAGGCTCCTTTCTATTGTTCGGTCTTTTCTTCTGTTCTCTTCATGCATAAGTCAAGTAAGTGTAGTTGGTTATTTACTTCCTGTTACACTGAGAACTTGTTGTTTGAATGGGAGCTCTCGAACTTCTGTATCAGTATTTCTGTATGATGAGTATCATCACAAACATATCATCTACATGCCTCGAGTAAAGCATACTTGTTCTTGTTGCGTTGTTGAGATTCTACAAGGGAACTAATTGTATGGAGTTCCGAAGAGGTTGAAATGTGTGTCATGAATTCCCCTACTGGCCACCACAAACCAAGTAATTATATCTCAATATACCCCTGTGATTTCTAGTGAAAACAAGTGATTCATCAGAACGATTTCTGTCTAGGGTATCCTGGTAGATCTTTCAAAAGTATTAAAACCTATTTAAAAGTTGACATGTAATGCCACGCAAGCACACATGCAACAGAATTGTTGGTAACTTAGATCAAACTTACCTTTATCGACAGCTGACATCAATCGCTATGCTGCGTGAAGTTAGATTAATTAATCGGGGCTAAAATATAAGACCATTAAGCTGATTCTTATTATGATGAAGAAGACTAATTAACCTCTAAACTATAGCAATTATTAAGGCTAGCTTAATTTTTAGGGGAAGAAGTTATTCATCACTATGGGTGAGCTGAAGTTCGACACAACATGTTTACAAAACTAATACATTTCAACATAAACATCTGATGATTTTAAAAAGCAACTCACCAGTCCGAACAGTAGTGTAACTAAACCGCCATACACCCCTTGCAAAACCTAAAATGAAAAGTGAGTTCATATTAAAGAAATGCTAATAATAAAGGTATTTGCAGACAATCACTATAGTAAATCAAAATCAGTCAATAAACCAAGTGAAAACTGAAGAGCACAGGACAAATTTTCAGTCTTATTTTGAAAGTACTTGCCATAATATCTGAACATCCTATACTATACGATTCACATTCGAAGTTCAACGAATACTACTGATGAGTCTTAAAATAGAACCAACCCACCGTTTAGGTAATTAGATGACATGGGTCTATCGGGTTATTTGTCAAACAGCTGATGTACATCTACACCGAAAATTACATTCTGTATTATTATTGTTTATAATAAAGCGATTAATGTTATTAGTAATTGCTGTCTTTCACTTAATAGAAATCATTAAGAATTTTCATCAATATAGCATGCATGAACATGCTTATTTTTAAGGCGTTTCAAGCAAAACTCATATTCTTTAATGTCAACTTTAGTTTTTATTAAGAGAAAAAGGTTATCTATCTGTGAACAGCATATGCTTGTCCAAGCAAAACATTTTGTTGAACACAGTTATATGAATGTGATTAGACATGAGTATTTTGTAAACATAATTTTTATTCATTTTTTACGAATTGATCACGGATTGCTGTCAGTTAGAGAAACATTGAAAACCACCACGGAGTACTGGACAGCTGTTTCATTCAAGTTTGGGAATCATCGGAAGTACGCACCCACCACCAGAGTTCAAACCCAGGACCATCTGCTCACAAGGCAACCTCGTATACCCTTCAAACACAGTGACCCGATTCAATGGCTCATGAATTCTAAGTTCGTAATTTAGCGCGACCCAAACCAATGTCGTCTGCGGGACATCCATCGTCAGGCGTGACTTGATGGACCTCAGTGGTCACGACTTAGAACTCCAGGAAATTCCATCCAGTAGACGAGCATCAGATTAATTTTTTATAGTTGGTTTGTAAGGATTAGTTTTGTTTTTAAGAGTTGATCACTGATTGATATCAGTTAGAGAACCATTAAAAACCAGGGAGTACTGGAGTACTCTTATTCATTTGTCAGTTAATCTATTGGAGACCGATTTATCGCACAGCACCAATCAGTTGTTAGCAGATAGTTGAAACAGATTACTTGTATATGCTTTTGCCAGCTTATTTCTTGTTTCAATACTAACTGCCTGCTTCGTAAGTGACAAGTAGCTTTGTTCTTTCATGGACCATCATTCAAGTAAATTTTCTGTGTATGCTAATTCTGTTATCTTATTTTAGTCTAACATTTTGTTCCCAACCTTCGCCATGTGACCTGCAATGCTAAAGGCTTAGTTAGTCGGCGTTTATGTCATTCACAATATCGTGCGCACAGAGAAAGATCCAACTAGTATTACAAAACACAGCTAAAAGCTAACACAGACTACTGAAATGTTGATATCAGCTCAAATCTCTCCCATTTAATCTTTTTAAATAACACGGAAAACTTTAATAAATCAATGGTCATTTAACATAGTGTCCAACGTATTCAGGTGTGGGTTATAGACAATTTCAAATATTAAGAGTGGCAACTCTTCTGAACTTTCCTGTTACCTAAACCATTTATTATTATTACTATTAATTTTCAAAGGAGATGATATATTTTTGAACTAAGATGACTCTATAATGAGATGTGATTTGTTGAATAATTTTAGTAAGCACAACTTATGAGAAAGGTGTGAACCGTAGGCTTGTATAATAAAGCCCTGAAGGATCAGAACTCTTATATCAGATAAATATTAGGTTACTCTCGGCTTACATTCACACTCGTCCATAAGCGAGATCAACAAAGTTAAGTGGAAAACGCCTAAATTTAATTTAATATTTTTAAAAGCAAAATATTAATACTGAGCAATACAACCATGTTCAACAGCTCACTCAGTACCTAATTTAAGCATATAATTTTTAAAAAAAACTTGCATAATATTCTATTCCTAAATAAATATTGAAGTGATTACCTTATTTGGTCCAGCGGCAAAATATACAATCATGCACACAATTCCAGTTAGCATGACGACACATCCAAATACAAATAACATACCAGAGCACATAGTAAAATCAATACGTGTTTGCATTGCGAATAATGTTATGCAGATGCATAGAGCAAATGTAAGCGCTACAGCGATTAAAGCTGCTTCAGCTCCATAGAATGCACCAATTGCACCAGCCATATATGATAATGCAAATGTCTACGAATTATTAAAATAGAATGAAAAGGGGAAAATATAAATGCAGATTGACAGATACTTGATATGGATCAACTGAACAAAAGGTGATATGAAGAAGAGATCGTGTAAAGAAGAAGGAGAGTGAGTAAAAGCTTTTGGTCATTTGAAACTGATCGAACAGAACTAAATGCAATGAAGATGCCTATGTCTTACTCTGAATGCAACAAACGAACAAATGATAACACAGAACAGAATAGAATTCTCCTTAAAACTATCAGGAGATGGTATAATAGAATTAACTTTTACACAATTGTTTCAGAAATCAATCAAGGTGTAAATAAAGTTACTTAAACTTCATCAGACTCGTGTTGAGTGGATCATTCAGTTTCACTCTTATCTTAGTGAGATGAGACATAATCACAAACTAAGAATGGTGAGAAATATTTGTTGCTTAACATGGACAGTTATATATTCAAAAGATCATTCATTGGTAGTGAAAGCGACATAAAAAGGCTTATTAAGTAAAAAAAAAAACAATTCAGTCCATGAACAATTTTTATGCTCCTTTGTATTTCAGTTGAATTAATGTGGGGCTAAGCAGTTTGAAACATGCCACCCATTCCAATCGTTTCAAGCATTAGTAAGAACTTCATGTCGTAGAATCAAGTTTTTTGCATACAGTTTACATATAGATCGATAATATAAAAACAAAACAACCAAATAAACAAAGGAGATTATTAAAGTTGAACAAAAATTCTTCCATCACTTTTTAAAAATTAAAATGCCATTTTAGTAAGCAAACTAACAAATAACTCGATGGTAACAATCTATCAACGTAGATAAAGCTATTGGCATCGTCCGGAATCAAAATATTGAAAATAATTTTGTGAATTCTATCGTTTCTTCTGGTGGAAATAGACTTTTCAGCAGAACTGAAGAAAATTTACTAATTAAAGGAATTCGACTGTCGACTTCATTTGGGTTTTTCTGCAACACCACGAAACTTATATTTTTGGAATTCTGACGTTTACATATCTTACTGAGAATGCTATTTAGACTAACTTTAGTTTCTGCAGTTGTGGTTGATCCGTCTAAATGTCCAGTCAGTAGATTTAAGATCCAAACTCACTTCCAATTACGTAGTTCTGAAGACTCAGATACCTGCACTGAATCTCACATAACAGATAAGTCTCATTACCTGATTTCTGTTGAGTTTATTCATTCTTTGCATCCCTGGCAGTATAGAAAGCTTCAAGGTTTGAAGTCTCAGTGGCAGTGGTGTTGTGTTTTTTGACTAGTTTGTTAACCTCAGGGTCAACCTTCCCTCTTTTCTGGGTTTACTTCTGGCTGGTAAATTAGGCAAGGTTTAGGAGTGCGTCGGTCAGGAATCGAAACTAGATATTTTGCGTTGCTGAAGGCATTCTATTCTTGAACCACCGATAAACATTGTCTACTGAGTGGCGTTTATTTATTTATTACTCAATATTTTATGGTCTCACTTTGACAAACGAAGTCTTCATGTGTCATGATGATGACTAAATTTAGACGACGTCTCAATCACTAGGGGATTCGTTTTCTCCTGCACCACATTTATGCATGGTGTCAAGTCAGGAATCTGTATCCCAGGTTCTCAATATCTAGGAATGTTTCAATCTAGAAAAGCATTTTATATTACCTAGCGTGACATTTCTCATTTGATCAAATTGAGCGATGAGTTGTTTAATTAAGAAATGTCTTGTAAAAAAAATTACCAAGTGATACAACGAATGGACACCAGGTTGAGAACCATAGAAAACCAGAGAGAATTGGACAGCTTTTTCATCTTAGGAGGGTACACTAGATCAGTTGTGAAGTCAAATATTTGCCAATGACGCTGGCTGGTGGTGACTATATAAACCGCGAAATGAGAGAAGTTAGAATTCAGGGGCCGTTTGACCCCACCTTAAACGAGGACAAAACAATCATGTAGCACACCCTGTTTTTCAGCAGTTTTCTCTAACTGATGTCCATCAGTGATCTGACCTAAAACCATTCATATCTCTGTAAACCAAAACTCTTCGATGTCTCAGGGATATTAGGAGTCGAATAACCATCAGCTATTGATTCATTCACTGTATCAAGTTCCTACAGGATTTGATATCTCATTTCCCCTGATCAACATCTCACAGCAAACCAAACTGCTTATATAGTTTATAAAACCATGAGCTCACGTTTCACATTTCTCAAGTTGAAAGAGAAAAAAGAAAAGAAATGAAACAACAATACACCTAAGTGTATTAATTGACATAACTTACAAAAACAGTTAGGCATATATAATTTCCGGGGAATTTTCTGCGTACACTCACAATACAACCAAGCACCAGATACGTGACGAAGAATATTGCACTGCATAGAAAAGAAATGCAGAAGAAGAAATAAATGTTTATGCAAAAAGCAGCGGAAATACTATCTATCTACAGGTCACTGGAATTTTGTAGTAGAGAGTGATATTAGCTGCACTGTCTGATATTACTGTTTAATAGAAAATACTGCTATTTTCTAGTCACTAAAGATCTGCCAGTGGAATTGCATGGGAAGGAGTTTATAATGGGATCAATATGTTATATTCCAAAGGTTGACGCTCCACTTATTCCATCAATTAGTAGTTTATATCATTTTAAATCACACTGTGGTATGATTAGTCTAATGCTTTCCACTCTGGATTGCGTGTTTTCAAAGTGTGACGAAGCCGAGTGACTTCTAGCTTTCAGGGATTCTACTACAGGTGATATCACGGTCCCAATAAAAGGTGTTGTCTAATATAACTGTCATTTTTAAAATTTCCGCATACTAATCTTCAGGTAAATATTTCACAAATACAAACACCTACTTATAAACTTACTAGGCTAAATAGTAGAACCAAGCATTTCTACGGACCCATTTCCTTACAGGTTGGCTGTAGAAGATCGATTACTGAGAATACAATATGCATACTTACACAAGCACGAAAATGCAGACAATAGCAAACGTGAACGACAGTTGGATGCTAAGTGTAACGTATACCTAGATTTGAAGCATAAAAGAGAATTTTCACAAATTTAAACGGGTAGAGTTGAAACATGGATGTGCTAATTTACTTGATATCCAAATGCAATGATATACACCTTAGAAATGGAGCTCATACTAACGTTCAAAGCTAAGTTTAAAATAAAACTATCAAAAATATTCAAATATTTCTGTATACATCAAACGAATAGACCCATCAAATTTCGCATATTAGAAAATGAAATTAATAATAACTTATATCAGATTTCATGGGTGTTTGTGCAGTGGAAGTATCATTATTAGTGAGAAATGATTAGATTCCCAGCCTTTTTGGAACATTACAGCTACACTTATTCTACATTTAACTTGTTTGTTGTTTTTCTACTATTTTATCTTGTTTCAATGTGATATAACTGTGAAAAATACAGAGATGGATATGGGGATACAAGACTTTTGTGATTCTGCCTTCACGAATATCAGGATGACTGATGTACAAGGTACAGTTTCAATTCTCTCGAAGAAAATCTGCAACAACTCCAATGTTTGTTTAGTCCTAATAAGTCATTAATCTGATCGGTGATATCGACCAACAGATATTATCTGGCTGAATATTCATTACTAAAAATTTGTTGAGTCAACACTGGTTTGTTTGGTTTCTATAGGGATATCATAAATGCTCGAAAAATTGACTGTTTATTTGGCGAACACAAGTGTTATCTGTCCAGTCTTTAATGTCACTGCCTACCAAAATTTTACCAACCACTTTTGTGAAGTGGTTATCAAGCTACCAGACTTCGCATCACAATGCACACTCAGAAAATATTAAATGCCTCAGGGAAGGCATTGTCTCCAAGGTTGTATGTAGGCCTTACTGATGAGTGCCAGTAAGCAGGAGAATTAGGCCCAGGGCTTCCTGCCTTCGAAATGTAAATTAAGCTGACAATCAAAGCACTAGTACTCTATAACTTCAACAGGCATAAATATCTTTGACTGAATCAGTAAAGAACACTGATATCTAACGAATAGTGAATATTATGCCTTTCCTCGTTTAAAAATAATGTCTGTAGACCAATACCAGCAATCAGGAGTGCAGCTTGCATGGATTTGGCTACGATAAACACAAGTAACAAATCAAAGTCCCTAACTTAATCATTTTTGTCTCCATCGGTATCAGCTACTGCAGTACAACATTAACAACCACTCAGCAGGTAACTCATTCAATCCCATATAATCTCTTTGTTAGACACCAATACATAATTTCATCCAACTTACCTGTTTCTACTTATTTCCTCCAATTTCAACTGAATTACACACAGAAGTCCTCGAACATAAATACTTTGACCTGAACAGCTTTCTAGATATTCCTATCTGTTTCACGGTATTCGACGAATATTTATTACGCCATTTATACATATAGACTTATCATTTAAAACAGCATGAATATGAAACTGATAACTTATCTGAAGTAGGCCAGATGGCGCGAATTCGTAAACAACCAACCACAATCGCCAAATAACATTATTAGTACATCTTTCTTATGGAGTTGTAGGTATTCTTTTTAGCCGTATGAATGGAGAGTATTAAGGAAAAGTAGGTGAGATGCCGATAATATTCACTAAATGTCATAGAATTATTTATTTTCAAATGATATTAATGTTTTCGATATTTTAAAGAGTGTAGGAATGAAAACAATAAAATTAATTCACCTTACGAATAAATGCACGACGGATATTTTTATCGCTAAATTTAGATGAAATAAACTGATCTTCCATGTATCTCTCCCCTCCTCCTCCTGTCCCACCGCCGATATCATCGGGGTTGTTGTGATGAGGATTGGTGTTATAGTTAGCATATGGATACTGTACCCCTCCAGCTTCAAAAAGAAAAAAAAGTTAGACGAAAAAACATTACACTGTTCCATCTCTGATAAATAATCTTTTCTCATTTTATTTGTCCTATTTGTTTTAGAAAATTATATCGCTATTTCTAATATTACAGTAAAAAAAAAGATTTTTTTATTTACTACACTGTCTTTTTTGCCTCTTTCGATTTGTAGCATAAGATTTTCAATTACTTCCCCATAGTAAATCGATCAACAGGTGTAATCACATTATAACAGTTAATTTACACAAATATACTACTATTAACGGAATAATCTACACTATACCGTTACTTTTTGTAAATTTCATTTAAAATGGCGTTGAAAAATTGGATTTAAAGGTTTAAGTTATTTGAAGCAAAAACTAGGTGATTAATTCATTCGGAGAAGACGAGTAATCAGTCTATAAACACATTTCAACACTTAACTGTCAACGAATAAGTATGCGGTCGTGTGTATCCTGATTTTTAATGGTTCTCTAAATGATGTCAATCGGAGATGGAACTTACCTGGAACACAGTCGAATAGCTATAGTTCGAACACTTAGAAATTATAAAAAAGTTCGTTATTGTTCCAAAGTCCAGTGTCCTGATGACTCCCTAGATCATTAATTCTAAGAGGACTGTAATCACTTCAACAATTAGTGAGAAATAATTTTTGAATCAGTGTTTTAATTTAAAAATCAGATTTTTATAGTTATCTCTCGATTTTTTCTTTTGCATTTTTAGAATGAGATGAACACCCAACTTATCAGAAATGTGGTGTTTTGTGTTTATTAGTTTGTTTTCCTTGGGACAACAACTAAGTTACAATATTTTACCACCGGAGAATAAAAAGCTGGTTGGGTTGAAACGATCGTGGAACCTTTATTCATTCCCTAAAAAGTAGGCTTCTAATTTTCCACTTTTCACTATTTTAACAATACAAAACACAAAGTGCTGCACAGATACACAGGGAATCTATTGACAGACACTGTATGATATGCTTTTCGAAAATCGACTATTATCGTCATTTGCTTCATTTGCATTCCATTCTACTTAAATTCACAGATATTTGAAGATGAAGCCAATCGAACACATACTGTTTAAATTTAAATTACTGCTTTTGACTCCACACTTTAAATAAGAATCTGGACCTGTACTCTACCGGCTGAGCCAGGAGACCAATTTGCGAAGCACATGATTATTTCATTGAAATCCTCACGGTTACGCCAAGTCATTATGTTTCACGAAGTTTCAATACTATTTGCTTCTGATGCAGAATATCTACTGGCAGGAAAGTTAATACGATTCTAAATTATCCAATAAAGGTCATTAGATAGTTTATATATTGAAACCTAAGGTTATAATGCTTAGTTGCTTGAACTTATATTATCCATATGTAGTTTTAAAGGTATTACTTGTACAGTTTTATCAAATACAGTGCTGAACAGCATCGCTATCAACTCTTTATCGATGTCATTCATAAGTTCTCTGCAGCATCAAAAATAAAAACACTAATCTAAAAACTTTACCTCCAGATATATGAGAATATCTGCGTCTTTGGAAATTTCACAAACTAATAAACTCTCGTGATCAATTCAAACTATTTATCCTATATCAGTGGCCTATTCCGTGTTAGGTGAAAACATCATGAAATGATAAACAACATTGCAGTATGAAATGTACACGTCTTCTATCCTTCGGGCCTCTCTTCAGCTACAGACAGCCTAAAATATACACAGGACTAATAAAATTAGAAAATACACTTTTTATTCTAATTAGAAGTAAATTTGAGAAGCTTCTCCAGTTGGCTTAGCAATAGAAACGCTGGCTGGCCGCCGACATACAGGAAAAAATTATTTGATACTGAAGGCGATTTGAAATCAACTAATTGAGTTCTAATCAGTTAGTCAAATATAATAATTAAAATAATACGGAAAAAGTTTGCTGTTCACTAAATTTTCTGTCTTTCTCCACAGAACAGGTAAAAGAGGAAATGATATAAACTAGATAAGCTCTTTTAAGTTTTTTAACAGAAGGAAGCCGTAGTCGGTCGTAAGATTTTGAAGTAGTGCAGAAGATCCGAAGCTCAGCTGGATGTTCTTGGTGTTGCTACGTTCTCTGGTCAACATCTGTTGTGTTAACTTCAATGAGAAGTGAGCATTGTGAATCCTTTGTGGATCAAATATTTATCTGGAACGGTGATCTTCACCTTGATTGGTTGTTCTAGGAGATTTCCGTGTGATTGCATCCATTTGTGTTGATATTGACCCTCTTGGTGACCTGATATGTGACATTTTATTTGCATGAACTATTTTTTTATAGACTGATAAATTTGTCCCGGTGAACGATGGCGGGGACACTGACACCAAAGCTGTGAAACGTCTACTGGCCTACAAAAGAATCAGGGTCAAGTCTTCAGATCTTTTTAACTAGTATTTATTATGCTGAGAGGAATTTTTCATTGACTGTAAACCCTTTTTAGTTTTTTCGGTGCAACTATATACTTCTTCCTAGCAACGACAAAGTGATGAGGTAAACCACTGGTTTACAAAAATTACAAATTTTCTGTGCTGGTTTTAAAACATAAACTGTCAGTAATAACAATAGTCATCAAAGTGTGAACCAGTTCATAAAAGTTATATCTGATCAAATATTTTTTTCATTAGATTTACTTTTACAGTCATTAGGAAATGAATTAAGATCTGCAACCCGAACTCCAACTGTTCTATTATCAATAAAGTAGTCCTAAGCGAATATTAACTGGATTCATGTACAAATTGATTACAGAAATATAAAATATCACTTACATAATCAATTATGAAATTCAAGTTCAGAATGGACTTGCCGTGCATATCTATGGAATTCTTTTGACTAATAAGTCACTCTGATGTTATGGTATCGTTATAAGTACGAAGAGAGTGAGAGAGAACTGTCTTTTTCGGATTTTCACCGTTAGTTATTACGTACACTGAAACATATTTACGTTTTGGATTTAATAGAAATCAGTTTGGTAACATACGACTTGACTTGATTGGGGGGTTGTAGCAACCCCTTACTAACTCATCGCTGGGGAAATTTCAGCACGGATACAAAAGTTCGTTTAACATCTCCAAATGTGTATTATCTATTTTCACTACTCACATCTAATTACCAAACAACTGATATGTGTCTTGTGGAGCAGTGAGCCATGTGCACGGGAAAATTATACCATAATTAGGTTGAAGAAGAGGTAGAAGTGATAGGACCAAAACATCAGTGGATAATGTCTTTAATTGGTAGTTCGAGATACCTAGAAAGTTGTAGATTGCTTGACTGAAGGTATTCATGATGCCAAAAGTTAATGATCAAAGAATCTCATCCGCATAACTCAAAGTTGTCCAATGTAGCTCAGATGTATTCACTTCTCATCATTCCACCAATTTTCAACACCATCTGTTTTCACTTAGTTATTCTGTGTGTCACACAGATAGTATCAATTTTTTAAAAATTCCTTTACATTCCCCGTGGAACATAGGGCTTCAAGCTACAGCTTCCAAGTCACGGTAGCAGTCGTGTTTATTTTTACAGGATGGGGTTTCTAGCCTCATGCCCAACCTTTCCTGTCTAGCACTCCTACTGCTGGCTTAGCGAGGTAAATTAGTGCGTCGGTCAGGGATCAAACCGCGAACCACTAGTGTAGTCAGCCAGCATTCTACCGCTGTGCCACCGACGCACATATAAAAACTGTTCTTCAGTTAATATACTGTACAATTCTTTGCTGTTTGAGCCTACTTCATTATAAATTCTCTTATAGATAGCGGTTTCTGCAGAAAGTTGTATCACTAGGGTTCTCTTTTTCTGCTTCACTTAATGTCTTTTGAATTAAAAAAACTTCAGCTGATGCATTTCTGTATAAAGTTCTGAGTTGATAATAAAGGCATTCAGTCAAATAATATTTATTCAGAATTTGAAACTGAAATTAAAACTTCACTTGTTGTGCAACTTGAACTAATAGTCTGAGTAAATCGAAAAGCGGCTGTTTCAAATCCTTCTGTAAAGGAAATTTTCACTTCACACTACAACAACCAAGTGCCTAACTACAAAAATCAGTGGTTAAAGATATTTTTCACACAACTAAGAATTAGTTTTAGATCCCTCATACAGACTTATCATGTCTTTAATTATGATACCTGAAGCATTTTCAACACGCATTTGACTATTAAATTCCGTTGAAAATCAAGATTTTTCAAGAATTAGATCACAGATCCAGACTGCTATTTGTTATCACAGTTACAAATTATGTACATCTTTTATGTATTCATGGAGATTTGTTAATTTATTGGATGATAAAGCGCATAGACATAGATTGGTTCTTCGTGGTGCTTCCCTCTATATTCTTCATTTCATATCAATCAAAACACACTTGACTTTGATTTTTATGCAACATTCTTGGCCTTATGGGTTTGCAGCTCATGACAATAAGTACATAATACATAATTCGTTCATGAATTTTATCACACTAAACAATCGAACGAAAATATATCTCAGTTGGTGTGTTAATCTGATCAGAAAGGTTTTAGCTAAATCCTTTAGAATTTGAAAGGGGAAACGAAGTTAAAACTGTCAGGGAATGTTATTTAATACAGTAAAAGATTCGCTTAGAAAAAGAATGCTATTTCAAGAAATCTGTGCATTACTTGAGAAGAAAAACACCCAAACCGTGTTGAATAAAGCAAAATAAACACTATATAGATGAATTATGGTGGAAATAATTTTAAGGACTGAAATGGAATTTAGACTGTACTATAAAGATGAATGGAACTGTCATATTTGTACTCGTTGTTATGTATGCAGTCTGTTTACACAAATACATAGATTTTATATGAATATTTTGGAAAAAATTATGTTCAGTTTTCACCATGAACAGTTGTGAAACATACAGTGAACAAACGCGTACAATATTATTTCACCATGATAGTTTAAAAGACTAGAAAAATATGTCCAAGTAGGAGAGTGGATAAAGAATTATAAAATCTGATAAACACTTAGTCAACGCCTTTTTATACTGTAGTGGACAGAAACTATGATAATTTAGATACTGTCCCGTCCAGGTGGACTTTCTGTAGACAGATCGTTTTACTGACCCATCTTCTGGGCGGGTTATGAGTACATCTAAAAATGGCAAGTAATCATTATTCTCTTTAACTTATGTTCGCGATATACTGTCTTGTACTCTGTTGATCTGGTTCAGGATTTCTATGGCGTCAGTCAGTTTATCACAAATGACAATTATGTCATCTACATATCTCTTATAAAAATTAACTTTTCCAATCTCTTCCTCCACTAGGTTCTCAACATGCGATATATATATATATATATATATATATATATCAGCTAACAATGGACCTAGGGGGCTTTCCATAACGACATAATCGATCTGGCGATAATGTTCACCTTTGAAAGTAAACATAAGATTGTTAGTACAAAGAAGTAGTAACTTTTAAATAAGATATGGATACTGGTAATAGGAAATCGGTGTCAGAGATGTAATCACAAAAAATGTCAACCGTCGGTAAAAGAGGTACATTTGTAAATAAAGAATCAACCTCTAGAGAGAACATGGTTTTGTCTTTTATATCAACGTTATCACAACAATCAAGCGCATTCACCGTATATATACTGACAATACAATTGAAGAAGAAAGGTAACACCTCACTGAAATATTGTTAGATAACAATTACCCACTGAGATTTATTAGGCATTGCGGAAGTGTCAACCGTAGAGCTTTACCAATCCTATCAGCTCACAAGAAGGATGTCTACATATTCTTGCCGTTCATAGATGATCAACAAAGTCTGGTCACTACACAAAGACTCGAGGCCGCAATTAATAGAACTTATTATGCAGCTTAACTTATCTTGATAGAGAAAACGAGAACTATGCTGTCCTGTAGATCCTCACATTATCCGAATCATGGTGTCACATCCCACTGTGTCTATCAACTTACATGTATATGTGGAGACACATACATAGGGAGGACCCATCGGTCTCTGCAGGTTAGGACTTAGCCATAAAAAGACTTAAACCTGTCCTTTGTGTCCAAAAGTTATTTGTTATTACCTTAAACCTGCCTTGGTAATCCAATTTAGGACCAAGAACCAATTTACTTCATAATATTTTCAACCCCTTCCCTGCTTTGATTTCTCTCTTTATCTTTCTTACCCACACCTTTGCGTCTCCCTACCCATTATCTGTGACATTGACCTGTACAAAATCTGACCTGTATTGTAACTATTCATGCCTTCTTGCCTTCTATAAAACTGTGTATGACAATATGTGTAATCAGAATGTCCGAAATGGGTTGCGCCAATACATTGCACGTTTCAGATAAACAAGTTCTTTTGACAATTGTTTTAACTTTACAGTCAGGCTTAGAGGATGGAGTATTTCTTAAACTGATATAGTTGTCTCCGCCAGATTAATCTATTCTTATGGAACTAGTCGTCTTGGAATTATTATTGACAACTTTATCACATCTAATGATGTTACTGAAAAAAGAAAGGATCAGGGAACAATTTGGGTGTTATTTACTCTTGCATTATAGATACTGACAGTAATTCACATTTTTGATTGTGAATTTTCAGTAATTTATGAAACATCAGAACGTCTAACGCAGGGAATACAATTTGACAGCTTACAAACTATTGAATTCATTGCAATCACTGCCGTAAAATATGGACTGTGCATAAGTACTTCAGAAAACAGCACTGTGAGTAGTGTTTTTTCCCACAGTCCAGGCGTTATGACTATAAAATGCCCGACACCTAATTGTTTTGTTTCCGTTTTTTCCCAATATTCACGAATTATTATTTTTCAGTATCCACTGTACCAAGACTGTGTCGCGTTCACATGATTGTCTCTACATGGCCAAATAGGATAACACATTTTCATAACTTTGTCTTATGGTTCTCTGCACCTACTAATTAACCAAAATCTACTAAATAATATTTCTCTACAACCTTATAAAATTCCAGGACTAACCAAATGATAAGTGACTGAGGTTGTGGTGGTTTGACTGCCTAAGTGTTAAATCACAAATCAGCATTCTCTACAGAAATCTCATAAACCAGATACAGAAGTAAAAACATATCACACTATATTTTATAAGTAGTCAGACAACAGAATGGTTTCTTTCTTACTGGTACTTGAATTTGAAGACATCTGCAACATTAGGGAAACTCCCAGTCTATTTACAACCAAAAACTAAGTCAACCGTTACCAAGTTCCTAGTGGAACTACCTTGAATAACTTCTGGTGCAAACAGAAAGTAATCTCAGATGGCCAGTAAATAACTATAATCTACATACCAAGTTAAGCAGTCATCCCAACAAGACTATTTGCGACTATGTAGTGATGTTTTTCCCACTGTTCTCATAAATTCCACTTTAAACAAGGTTCACAAGTTGGAGTACGCAGCTAATTAGCCCAGTGTCAAATAAAAAGCAGTCATACATTTGGTTCCCTTGATAAATTTTGATAGAGAAAGAAAGACCAGATTTGCAGTATAAATGATATCATTCTATTTCACAGGTTCTTATCAGCTGCAAACTACCTGAAATTACAATTTTATACTGCAAATCTGGTCTTTCTTTCTCTATCAAAAAAGCAGTCACTCAGTGTATTGAGAACAGCCATCCAATCAGCACACGCGATAAGTATTCATGTTGTTTGGTGATACAGATAATGAATACCTGTAAAATACCCAACTTTAAGCCTTGCCAAGCAATTCACTCAAATACGCTGAAAGCCATTAAAAGAAATAAAAATATTCGAGGTATAATATATCATTTTACTCATCCTAAGAGGAGTTCCAAAAATTATCCTCATTTACTTAACCGACAAACAGGTAATAACAAGAAAATATTTCAAATGACAAACGTTAAAAAATAGATGACATGCTAAATGTTTCAGAATGAAAACAAGCATCCACATGCGCACCAACTACGGAGACTTAAATAAAAAGAACCTATATATATATATATATATATATATATATATATATATATATATATATATATATATATAATTAGTATCCTGGATATAAAAGCGAGCGCCTCTATAGCGAATCTGACTGGTAGTTCATAGATTCCCACAAGGAATGCCTAACTCATATTTCAGATCCGAGAAACGTGTAACTGATAGACACAGTCAATTACTCTTAAACTACTGGTAAGCCTGAAAACACTTCGTTTCATTAAAAGGGAATAAAACTAGTTACGGTAGTGTAAACCTAACGTCCTGACATAAATTGTTATGTATATACTTTCCTGTACTTATGTAATAATCACAACATTAATATTAATAGAGGACAGTATCTGTTTAGTATACTCATCTTACCTTGCCACTGATGTCCATCATTCATTGGATAAGGTAGATGAGGTACGCCTACAGGGTATGGTACCGGAGGGTCATTTGGATATGGTGCTTGGGATCCATCTAGATACGGTACAGCCTGAGGAGACGAAGCCTGCGACCTTTTGTCGGCCATTTAAGGAAATTAATGGATTTTTTTCTTTACAGCTATTGAATATAAAGGTAATGCATTTTTTTACTGGAGAAAATGACATTTTAACTTCTCACAATAACAATGTTTTAGCCTTGAGATTTCGAGACCATCTCTAAACCAATTAAATTGGAGTTACAGTCGTGTGCTTTCAAAGAGGATTGGTTTAAACAACAACAATAAATAGAACAAATCAATGGATTACTATGAGGACCATCGATTTGAAGAAAAAAAATTAAACTCATACAAACATTTAGAAGGTAGAAAACAGATTTTAAACTTAATCACGTGAGCTATACCTGTTTTTCTTTTTGTAAATATCAATTATGTGCATACCCTGATTAAAGGGTGTCTTAATTTAATGTATTTCATAAAGTTGATTTGTTTTGCACAAGCTTTTGTTCTTACTATAATCAGTGTCAAAACAACACTCAGAAATGTGGAACTATGATTAAAATATGCAATTATAGCACAGTAATTTATTGGTAATAAAGTTAACAGTAAAAATAAAGATAATACTTACAGTCAGCTAGTGTCACCGGAAAATATAATTATTCTAGATTGCGGGTGAAGACCGTCGGGAGGGCAGGGGAAGGGATTAAACAGACTTTTTCTGAAGACATAAATTGGGTGAAAACTCATTACGGAAACTGTCTCAGCTATGCTTAGAAATCGAAGACGTACAAATCTTGAGAACTGAGGAGGCATCTTGTATAGAATTGTAAAAGTTGGATATTTATCAACCTTATGTTCCGTATTCACTAGTTGTGCCAACATAGAACTCTGTACTTCATGATTCTTTTTCTTAACAGCATTGGACAATGCTCAAGAAAGCGACGGTGGGCTTTCAGTGTGGTTCTACCTATGTAACTGCCTCCAAAGGAGCATTTAAATTTGTAAACACACATTGAAATCGCCAGACTCAGTAGCTTATCCTTCACATGCATTGGAATTATGCAACAAGTGGTGAATTATGAACACAATGTTGCCGTAAAGAATATTTTAGCCATTATTTGTCAGAGTTTTGATACTAGGAATTGAGTAACTGCATCTCTTTTGGACAACAAAGTCATATGTATACGTTTCCTGTGTATTATTTGTGGGCATTTTTCTCCTTCTGTTCTTATTATGGAAACTAAAATTTTTTCTGGAAATCCGTTCTCATAAAGTGAGTTTCCAATTTTTCTTATTTCGTCGCCTTAAGGGGCACTTATACAGATATTTGTAGCATGAAATATCAGAGTACTGATGAGACTTCGTTTACATGCAGAAGGTAAAAACCATTTGAAGTGGTTGTATTGGTCAACCTATGACTTCTCCACGAAAATACTTCGTTTAGAACTGTCATCTGGTCTTCTTGTTAACAGGACATTTAAAATGATAAAGTAATGTCTTTCTCTCCTTCATATGGAACTAAGTTTGTGGATGAGCCATAAAGAGCGTTTTGAGGAGGAACTCAGTGTTGATTTTATTCTTATACAAGATTAAGGTACCGCCCATAAATCTACAGTAGAATGAGATTTAGTTGACTGCATTTTTTAAGTAGACGATTCTTTAATTTCGCCACAAAACATTATTAGAATGCTTGGATATATTCTAGTCTGGTAATCAGTATATTTCTTATCATTCATTCATTCATTCAACTGTTACATGATACCTAAGTTAATTCATCTGCAGTGAAACATTCTATTGCATGGGAATTTGGTTTATCATCGATTATCAAACTTTTTATGTTAAAAGACGTGGTAAATCATTTTCCTTCATCGTCATTCCATTCCTCTATAGTTCCCTACTGTTAGTAGGATGCATATTACAAGTTTGATGACGGGTCAATGTCAATTAGGGAACCACCGAAATCCATGGAGTAGTGAATAACTGTTTCGTCCCTGTTTGGGACTCTTCATCAATACATACCCGTCAGGGATCAAACTCAGGAACTTCAGATAATAATGTAAGCTAATCGACCATCAAGTGGGACGGAATCCAATGGCCTATCAGTTCTATCCACTGCTGATTCGCGACATATAAAGCAAGTACCAGTCATTCTCGTACATGATATCTGTCCTCACACCCAACTTGTTGGACTCCACTAGAATATCAGTTAACAGTTCAGTCTGTTGCAAATTCATCCCTTTGCATATCTCCAAATACTTTTATCACGTCTGTTCTAATGGACACTAAATTATAAGGTTTTCCAAAATAAATAATTTTCCTATGTGATTCCCCGCTGATAACATCACAAATTAAACATTGAAAAATAGACTGAATAAACTGTACAGAGAAATGCTCAGGATTAAAACAGAAGTAACCTGGTTGATGAGTATTATCAGCTGTGTTCGGGTTTGTTAATACGTGGGTACAAGCATACCGAAATGCAACACGCTACCCTAGTGAGTAGTAAAAACACCAATTCTCACACTGAGATAGCTTCTATTTCACTGAAGCGAGAAAACATCAGAAGGAAAAGGCTGGCTCATGATGAGAGCTTTGTAAAACAAAAATACATCATTAGTACATGTATACACTTCCAATACGCAATATTATGCCAGCTAAGTGGTTAAATAAACTAATTCGGCTGGTTGTTTAGGGATAAAGATTTTGTATGAAGTCAAAGAATATCCAATAAAATTATCTCATATCCACATAACAACATAAATCTAAAATTAAAATCTTCTGCCTATGCAACCAATAAATTAGAATGTTGATCCTAGTTATAGACGCTTTCTGTCACATTCTATATTTTTTGTTCTAATCTTACTGATCACATGATCTTCATAATTTTATCCAAAAAAAACAACTATGGACACCCTTAGCCATCATCCAAATTGCATAGGTTCACCTTAAAATAATACTTTCTGATAAAATTAAACAGATAGTAGACTTTCAGTCATGAAATAAGGTAGTTCATCATCACGTAAATCCCAAAGTGAATAATGATAATAATGACAGCTTTATTTCGGACAAAATATATGCACAATGTATAGTATTCTATGAATATTGAATGTTACTTCATTTTCAACCAGGATCTTCAGGAAAGATAATAAGTGATAGTTTATCGTTTCACACAATGCTATTCAGTTTGATGCATAAACCAACTCCTTATGATACTTTTCCTTTGTCACCGAGATATACACAGAAGAAGGGTGATAGCCAATTAAAAATACGGGTGAGTACACTTTGTTACTCAACGATATAGGTGAAACGATGAGGAATGAGGAGATTTTTATTTTGGGTGGAAATTCAGGTAGATCAGGGATGCAAATAGGTTACCTCTAGTTAGGTTAACAGCTAGTATGTTATGATATTTAGGTCTGGATTTCCTCGTTTGGTGATGGTATGCAATGAAATCCAGAGCTTGAGTTTTCTTCGACTCAGAATTCATTAGCTGAATCCTATTGAGTGTTCTCCCTAGCACTGGAACCTAGTACACTATTTTTTTATTTTTGATTTACAGCTTGATTCCACACAGTATTTTTGGTACAAGTATGGAATTTTCAGCGTGGATATCGGTAGCCCAAATTTTGCAGGCCGACCATAGATATCAGATGTGCGTCGGCAGGTGTTCGAACCTCGGACCATGTGCATGGTCGGTGAGAGTCCTAACCACTGTGCCACCGACGCACACACACAGCTGCGTACTCAGAAGCGTTATCCCCTAGGATACAGAGCGACCAAATACACCTTCTACGTAAAGGAGATTATATGACATAATTTGTTTGTAATTGTGAATCCCCGCTGACATTTCAAGATTAAATTATTCGGTTTTATTTGCCCGGAAAGACCTCTTGAATAGGAAAAGATTAAAATTCTCAATTATACTGCATCCCAACAACTTGCAAATAACTTCAAGGTAGAAATAATGGCAATATCAAGGCATCTGCTCATCAATAAGATGAACAATTAGGTGTAGAAACTCCCCGGAAGAATCAATGATACAAATGGAAAGTGTAGCATTGAGGCTCCGTAGATTTGTAGATTCATCCAAACACACTCTGTCTTAATCAACAGCGAAACAGGAATTGAGATTATTTTAAATAATTTTACAGTGCATAATTCTGTATGACTTTGGGCTAAAATTATTTCAGGAAATTTGCAACATCACTAGTCTGGATATTTACATTAATTGATGTCAAAAATCTGTAAACATGATGTCTTTGAAACGATGATGGTCACGCATTAAAAATAAACCTATTCTTCTCAGTCTTTTTGGCAAAAAGCTCATACAAGGATGCTATTTAAGCATAACACTATATCGGTAAACAGTGAAAAATCAAGATACAATAAATATAAGTATAGCAGTTTGGTTTCTGTTGTCTCTCTAACCGATATTGGTTCACAAAGAAGTCAATAAATTCCTTCTTAACTATGCAGTTGAGTTACAACGAAATGCAAAAGTTGACTGATTTTTGTTCAACTACGTTAACAACTTATCATCAGGTCACATAATCCATTGATTCATTTACATTTAATCAGATTAAGTAGTAATTGTGAATTGCCCTTTTTAAAAAACTGATTTCAGAAATGTATTCCTATGCTCTTTTATTCCTTCTAATACCAGGTAGAACAAAGGAATTCAAGCTTGAACTTTGAAGTTCTAGTAGCAGTGGTGGGTTTGTCCGCCACACGCATAAACTGCCATCTTTACTCGGCCTACTACCGGCTAAGTGAGGCTAAGGAGTAGATAGGCCGTGGATTAAACTGCAGACCACGTACATGGTTGGCGAGTGTCCTACCACTGGACTGACGCCAAATATTTCTATACTTGGTTACCGCTTATTTGTCAACTCCGTGTGATATTTAAGGAAAGATTTTCAACCACAACTAATTAACCTAAAATGGGAATCACGCAATAAATCCCTAGTGAGGTCAAGGGTGCGTACTGATGAACAGCCGTAAACTATGTTTCAACAGCTATCCAGTACTCCCTCGTTTTTAGTCTTTCTCTAACTGATGTCAATCTATGATCTAACTTGAAACCAATCAAA